AAATAAAGATTTGTTTTATCTAGTGCTACAAATATTAATCAGATTAGTATCTTTCTTTACATAAAATAAAATTACCGTGTGTTAATATCCCAGCATTTTTATGCAAAAACGGGAACACACAGAAAAGGAGAGAGACACGCACATACATCTTGCTATCTTTGTGAGGACTTCACACACACAGCAGTTCACTGCATCGCTGCCTCAGTCTGCGCTCATTTTTACACCAGGCAAAAAATGCATTTAAAGCAGCTGACGTTAAGTTTAGATCTCAGTTTGAAATGTACACCGAAGAGAACCTGCATCACAACTTTTTATACTGCGGTCAGAACAAACGTGATCTGAGCAGCGTCTGCCTGGTTCACGTGTTCATGGTGGACGGCAGCTCTTTACTCGCTCTTATGAACATAACAGCAACAAAAGACTGAGAGCTTTGTATTTTAATCCAGCAGGGAGAACAATAGATGTGTTCTTCTATGCCTCCTGTGAGCAGCTCCAGCATTTTATAAAAGAAAAACAATGTGGACACACTGATTACAGTCCGATGCCAAAGTGAAAGTAAAAACATGGTGCTCCCGTTCGAAAGTGAAACTTAACACACAGCTGTTCTCTCCTCCTCATATTTCGACACAGAGGACAGAAACAACTAAATTAGACATTTAAAACAATAAAAGTTCATAACTCACCCTTATTGTTGTTACACTCTGTCTTACAACATCACCAGCTGCTCTCTCCCAGGGAGGGGGCAGCAACATGCGCTCACGTGATCCAAAGAATGGATCATCTGATACCGATACAAGGAAAAAACTCAAATATCGGTCGGCCGATGTATCCGTCGACCCCTAATTACTAGGTTTATCATGAAATGATATATTGATTTGTTTCATGATGATACGAATTTTCTTGATTGAGAAATATCGTATTTTGATTCCTCGATCACAATTTCTTTCTCTCATAAGATTTAGATTTAATTCACAAATCTAACAAGTTGTATCAGTGTACTATCTTTACTGTAGGCATATTACTGTATATATTTATGTATAAGTGGCTGTATACAGTATATTATATATACATTTATTTTTATTAGTATTATTTTTTGTATTTTTTTGTCCTTTTTCTCTGATTAAGGTTTATAAAATGAATCTCCTCCTGGATGAGTTTTATTTTCCTGAACAGAATGACAGAGTCGAGTCTTGGCTTCACTAACTCCTGCTCTCTGTCTGTCAGTGGATTACAGCGCCTCAATGGGCAGCGAGGAGGAGAGCGGCAAAGACTGGGACGAGCTGGAGGAGGAAGCCAGGAAAGGTTGGTGTCTGCAGGTCGGGCAGTGATGGTTCTGAGCTAACAGTGGGTCATAAATACCAACACCTCAGATAGACTCCAGGAATTAAACAAAGATTAAAAAGGAGTCCATATTTCCCCCGTTTGACTCTTTATTAGGGCTGCAACTAACAATTATTTTATTAATCGATTAAT